AACTCAAGACGTCCTCTTGAGTTAAGTCGTAGAATGATGAAAGTTGGTTGAGATGTATGGTCTTCAAATCATAGTTTCGGGTAACTTCTTCTAGAAAAAGACACGATGTATTATCTCCGATAATTGGTCGCGCGAAGTATATCGTGTTTGGAGGCGGCAGGGGCAAATCTTCTTATTGATCTGGTCTCCAGTTCGAGTTGTGTCTCGTTTATATTTTGCTCAACGTAGAGTTCAATCGGCGATGTCTTCTCTTGAGTACCTCGCTTCCATCTACCTCGCATACACAAAAGCACAAAACTATACTCCTGAAGGTACCAATGAGAAGAAAGAAACCAACACAAGGAAAAATATATTGAAGTTTTCGACTTAGTAAGGGGAGTGTATCGTTTTCCATAAATTTAACTGACTTTATACATCAAATTAGATGATGTCAAAATTAATGTATATTTTTAGAGAGTCCAAGTATCTATTTCAAAATTTTCCATATATGAAAAGACCTTCATTAAATTGCAAACTCGGTTTGGCTCCGTGTAACGATACACAAACGTGGTTCTCATCATAATATTAAGCCCCTATCTCATCTCATGGCAACCCGTGGCCGTGGGATCTGCAATGAGGAAGTGCTTTGAATTGTGAACGCAAAACAAAATAAAGCAAAAGTCGTGGTTCCCAACTAGCAACTATCATCTAATGTGGTGTTGTGGTACAATTGTAAACCTGCGCAGCTCGCTCCCCCGCGCACCCTAGCATACACCCCCACAACTCTTTTTTTTTTTTAGAACAAAAAAGGAAAAAAAAACTCCGAACGTTAGGAAGAAACCCGCTAGAGTATAAAGACCGAAATACCCCTTCCACCACCGTATATAAAGGGCTCTCAGCTTCCTCTTCCCGGCGATTCTCCCATAATTAACACCACAAAAGCACAGCCAACAAACCCTTTCCTTCTCCGATTCAAAAAATTCTCCGCCCCCATTGATTTTTTCCACCTCGAGAAAATAACGCAGAAACACCTCCCGAGTGTGTGTATGAGAGGGTATGGCCATGGGGACTGAGAGATCGAAGCCGCTGCACAATTTCACGCTGCCCTGCGATCTCCGGTGGGGGAATCAGCGGTTCCTCCGCTGCATGAAGGTCAACTCCGGCGGACAAATCTCGCCCAACCGCCGCGCCGGAGGCAACAGCTCCGGCTCCTCCGATCACCACAACCACCACCTTCCGATCCAGCAGCGCCGCGCGGCCGGGGATCGAGAGAGGGAGAGGGACAGCGATTCTTCGTCCCGGTGGTTCGCGGGCGGATCTTCCCGGAGATTCGGATACGACGACGGCGGCGGGATCGCCGCCACGAGGGAGAAAGTGATGCTCGATCTGCAGACGGCGGCGGATAAGATGAGAAGCGCGTTTTTCAAGGACGGCGGCGGCCTCGAGGAGGGAGAGGTCTCCGTCTCCGTCCCCCGGCCGCTCCCGCCTCCGCCGCCCGCCGCGTCGGCGGACGGAGAGGTTCACCGGCCGTGGAACCTGAGGACCAGGCGTGCCGCAGGAAGGACGGCGACGAACGGGTGCACCGCTGCCGCTGGCGTCAGGGGTTTGAGAGTGGACGCGCCGAGGCCAAACTCCGGCTCTTCCCAGATGCGGTCTCCGGCAGCGGCGGCCACCCAGAAGTCGCCGATTCGAAGGAGCGACGGCGGAGAGGCGGCGGCGGGCGGCGAGAGGGAGCGAACGAAGTTCTCCGTCGCGCTCTCGAAGAGAGAAATCGAGGAGGATTTCTTCTCGATTGCTGGCCACAGGCCGCCGCGCAGGCCTAAGAAGAGACCGAGGACCGTTCAGAAACAGTTGGATGTAAGTCGATAATGAAATTCAAAACCCAATTGGGTTCAATTTTTGTTTTTTTAGGTCATTTGATTCGTTTAATTCACTGTTCCATTGATGCTCCTCCTGTTCTTCATCTTCCTTCATTATTTTCCATTTGTTTATTTATTTTCAAATTGGAATTTTGCAGACCTTATTCCCAGGATTGTGGCTGACAGAGGTTACAACAGACATGTATAAAGTCCCTGAAGCTGCTCCATAACAAAATTAGAAAAAAAATAATAATAAAGAGGTAAAAATCATCAATTTTTTTACATTCATCATGTTTCCATTTTTCATTTTGGATGCTGAATGTTCAGTGGGTGGCTTAAGTTTTCCGGTTTTAATCCGAAACAGGTTAAATGCGAAGGATGGACTAATACAGGGGCAAGCAACACCACCAACATTGGAAAATTGAAATTTGAGTGAAGTGTTGAAATTTCTCTGGTAAAAATGTGGTGTACAAGAAAAGAAAAAAGGCTCTTAGTTTCTCTAGAAATTCTATTTTTGCTTTTTTTTTTTTTTTCTTTTTCCTTTTCTATTGATTATAATTGTTAATACACATGTTTTTTGGTTAATGGAAATAAATTTAACAGAGGAAGCAGTGATGAGGAAGTTGGGAGGTTTCTTCTTAGTTCTTTTGCTGTTTATACACTTTCGGTTTTATGATATTCAAGCAAATATTTATCATTTCCTACAAGCAACAATGCTTATTCTTCTGCTCTTATGTGCTTATTGTTTTCATATGCTTTGATGAACTGTGTTTCTTGTATATATGATGGTGACGGCTTTAATCTGCACAATTTTTTGTTCTTCTTGTTTTATTTATCAAATTTGAAGGCTTAAACTTGTTATAGTGACTTTCGTCATGGGATTTAACAAAATGTTGGATCATTTGATGGTGAGAATTTTTTAACACTACACGTCGCTTGTGTTGATAACGCCATTAATGAGACCTTTTGTCATGTGTTTTCAAAGTTCACGGGATAAGAGTCCTAAAGGAAAAGGTTCTAAATCATGGATTTAAACCGAACGTTCATCTAGCTCGGGATTCAAGTTTGCTCGAGCATTTGTTTGAACATTTGGTTTGCCTTTTAGTGTTTGATGGCTGCTGCTGATATACTTAGTGTTCTTTCAGGTAGTGATGGTGTGTTGCCTGATTTCTAATCCTTGAAATGTTATATTTTGGAGTCATTATGAACGCTGGTCTCGTAGATTCAGAATACTTAGGAGTACATACTGTTATCTTATAAAGTTTCAAACTTTGCCTTTTCTATTTTTCTGAAATGCACGATCAAGAGCGGTTTACCCATACAAATTGTAAAAAAATTTATGTTCTTTAAAGAATTAATAAGTACCTCTTCAGGGTCGAAGTCTTGCAGACAGCTCTTGGGAGATGTATTTACCCACAAATATCCTGCTGTGTGTTAAAATGAAAAACCCAAGTGTAAAAATTTAAAGTTGGTCCATTTGTACTAATCAAAACAAAAACTTTTGGGGATAGTTTTCACAACTGAATTCAAAGAATTTTAAGAGCTTTCACTTATCGTTTTTGTATAAGGGCCACAAGACTTGGATTTTTCTGATAGGTATTGCTTGTCAAATACAGGCCATTCATTATATGTGAGCACATTTTCGCCCGCCTTTCTCTATATTCGTGGTTTAAACAATGTATTTTGTTTTGGTATTGTTCCAAAGCAGTCAAGTAATAAATTTGGTGTTTGCTCTTTCTGCCAATGCCCACTCTTTTTAGTAATCTACTTGTTAAGACCTGCTATATTTAGATTTTTGTGAATTATCATGCAAGCCTTCAATAATTTCTTCTTATATCTCTATCTTCATCTTGTTTGAGCACTCTTTGTCCAAGTATTTTTCCTTCCTAGTAAAAATCTGGCTGTAGTTTCAATGTGCTGTTTGTTTCAGCAGCTTTCTTGTAGCCTTTCTCTGCTTTGCTGCAATGGAGATTTGTAAAGAGGAATCTCAAATCCTGATCTTTT